GGGGCAAGAAGGAGAAGATGCTATGAGGAGATGTGGGTTGGGCAGCTGGGATTTGAGGTGTGGGATATGGGTCTGGGATGTGAGGAAGGGCAGGGTTGGAGGGGGGTCAGGGGAGCTGGGGTTTGGCTGGAGGGTGGGAGAAAGCTGGAGGTGCCCTGGGATGGGCTGGGGTGAAGCTGGAGATGCAGCAGTTCATAAATGGCACTTTGGATAGGAGAAAGGTGTTGGGGGCATTAGAAGTGTAAGAGAGGACTGCTGGAGGGTGCATCACCCTGGGCCTGTTCTTTCAAACCAGCTCGGTGTTCCAGGCTGGTCAAGCACTAATCCTGCCATTTCTTGGCTCTTTCCTTGCCATTTCAAAGGGCATTTCAGAAAAATCAATAAGAAAATTGTTAACTATGTGGCTTGCAGAGTGAGCCAGTCCAGCAGCTGCATTTGTCCAGCAGAATAGGGAGAATTAGTTCACTCTTTTCATACTTCTTTAGCATAACTGGCTCCAAACCTTGAGTTCTCTAACTAGAAATGTGTTTTAAAAGTATTTTATTGTGAACAAAATAATATTCTCCTTTTTTTTTCAAGGAACTGGGTAGATTGTGCCTCAGCTGAGCCATGGCCACACGCCTCAGATCGGTGAGTGAGAGCTGAAATGGGCCTGAGGAGGATTTGTCTAGCACAGACATGTCTGCGTAGATGCTTCCAGACATCCCTAGGGAAGACCTAAGACTGATTCTGCATTAAAGATAATTCTAGAGATATTGGTGTAGAAAATGTGATTTGCTGCTCTTGGTTCCCAAGAGATACAGGAGTGGTCTGATCCCCCATCAGGAACACCAGTGGCTTTGTCAGTGCTGCCAGATCAACTGCTCTGGAGATTTAGTTACAACAGGATCATGTCTAGGTATTTTATGATGTTATTCCTTGCTGCAGTGCAAGTGAAGGCCTGGTGGAGGTCCCTGAGGGCTCCCAGGCTGTTGTTACCTCATTCTGGGATCCCTACCTCAAATACAGGAGGTTGGAATATGGGAAAAGGAACATTTTGCCTAGCTCAGAGAGTTGTTGGGACATTACCCTTAGGAATACAATCTATTAAGCTGTTCTGTTAATCACCTGTGGATCTCATTTATGAACTTCTACCTTCTGAGCTATTTTCTCATTAATTCCTATGATGCTTATGTAAGACTAGGGAATCTGGGATATTTAGGAAACAAAGAAACAAGCCACATCATAGCATCATGGTAGAGGGTAAACAATCTGTTGTGTCTCCACAGCACTTTAGAGGTAGTAATTCATACCCTAAAATCAATATAATCGTGTAGCTTGGCTTGGTACACACATTATACTATGCAATATCAAGTTAGAAGTTTTTGTATAAAATTATATATAGCTGTGGCTGCCCCAGCCCTGGGAGTGTTCAAGGCCAGGTTGGACAGGGCTTGGAGCAACCTGGTCTGGTGGGAGCTGTCCCTGCCCATGGGAGGGGGTGGAACAAGATGAGCTTTAAGGTTCCTCTGAACCCAACCCAATCTAGGATTCTGACTCATAAATGTGCTTTAAAGATCATTTGAGCACTCTGCAGTGGCTCTGAGGTTCAGAGGCAGAGGGCAGCATTCTGCCACGAAGAGCCTTGGTTCACACATCTCAGGCAGTTGGGTGCTCTGAAGAATCCACTGGGATCATGAAAGGTACCTTAATGAGAAAGTGTACAGGGAAGCCAAGGAAAAACGTCAATGGAACACAGCAACTGCCTTTTGAAGAGAAGCTGAAACAGTTTCTGTCCCCTCAAAACTGTCCGTGTCCCCCCTCCCCCCCAAATCCCACCACAGTCACCTCTAAACCATACCACTGAGTGCCACATCCACTCATTTTCTGATCCCCTCAGGGGATGATGACTCCACCATCTCCCTGGGCAGCCTGTTCCAGGGCTTAATCACTCTTTCAGTGAAGAAATTCTTCCTCATGCCCAACCTGAACCTCCCCTGGCACAACTTGAGGCTGTTTCCTCTCTTCCTGTTGTTCCCCGGGAGCAGACTCTGACATCCACCTGGCTGCACCTCCTGCCAGGGAGTTGTTAGAGAGTGAGAGTGCTTCCGCTTTAACTGAGCAGCTGCAGGAGCTCCTCTGATTTCTGCTGCAGATAAGTGACACTTTGCAGCAGAACCTTTGTTTAAGGATGTGGCACTTAGAGACTTCTGAATCGTTGTCTTTGTGTGGTTTCAGGGGGTTAAAATTCCCATCAGCTCATAGATAGCTGCAGAGATGGGAGGGTTGTGTAGCAACAGTAAGGAGTACATCCATTTCCAACCAGGACAGAGCATTCTTTGTACAAAAGCCTCCTCAGACTCAGGGTTTGTATGTTCTGTGCTGGCAGTGAGGTCCTTGGGCTCACTCCAGTTAGATGAGGGACTAGACTGAAATCTGTTAATTAGTGAGTAACCATTGAGTTAAAAACCTTAAAAAGAGAAAGGAAGACCTAACGACTAAAAAAGGACAATCCTGGTCTGTACCTGATTGCTTTCTTGATTTGGAGAACACTCAGTGTTACATGTGCTGATAATGGTGATAGTTTTAATATCCTGAATTATCTGTGCCATGGGGCTGAAGGGAATCATAGAATCATCACAGAAACACAGAATGGTTTGGCTTGAAAGGACCTTAAAGTTCATCTCATTCCAAACGACTAAAAAAGGACAATCCTGGTCTGTACCTGATTGCTTTCTTGATTTGGAGAACACTCAGTGTTACATGTGCTGATAATGGTGATAGTTTTAATATCCTGAATTATCTGTGCCATGGGGCTGAAGGGAATCATAGAATCATCACAGAAACACAGAATGGTTTGGCTTGAAAGGACCTTAAAGTTCATCTCATTCCACCCCCTCCCCTGGAGGGAAGCCATTCCCCCTGGTCCTGTTGCTCCAGGCCCTTGTAAATAGTCCCTCTCCATCTTTCTCCCTGTTTGCTTTACCATCTGGGTAGTCTATGGGAACCAGTCCTCTCTTTCTTCATCACTGTGTGAGCCTCTTGGTTCTGAGCATGAGGCAGAGTCCTTCCAAAATAGACTCAGGGTGTCAGCCATGTGGACCCTTAGTGTGTCTGGACTCCTAAGTGTCTGTGACAGCACTGACATGGAAAAGTCTTTTGATATCTGAGTTTAGATTCCTCCAATTTAACTACTAAGTAGTTGTGCAAAATTCCAGCACACTAAGAACCCAGGGAGTTCAAATCACAGTATGTTAAGGGGTTGGAATGGACCTTAGATGTCATCTAGCCCCAACCCCCTGCCATGGGTGGGGACACCTCCCACCAGATCAGGTTGCTCAAGGCTCCATCCAGCCTGGCCTTGAACACTGCCAGGGTTGGGGCAGGCCCCATGTCCCTGGGCAACCTAAGCAGAGGGCAGGGCCCCCAAAATGCCTGATTTATCAGCTCTGTGTATGGCAAACTGTCCTGGGAGTCAGGAGACATGTGAAGAGTTATATGACCTCTTCAGATCCTGACAGGTTGCCCTGAGGTCCCCACAGAACCTTCTCTTCTCTAGGCTGAACAGCCCCAACTTTCTCAGCCTGTCTTTATAGGGAAGGTGCTCCAGTTTATTGGTTTATTTAAGCTAATTTATCAGTTTCAATCACTTTACTTGGTGTGTGTCTGCTTGGTGAAGAGTTTTTCTCCCTGTCCCTGCAGGCTGGCAGGAGATGCTGCACTGTGATTGGTGGGTCAGGCTTCCTGGGACAGCACATGGTGGAGCAGCTGCTGGAGAAAGGTTACAGCGTCAATGTGTTCGATATCCGGCAGGGATTTGAGAGTGACAGAGTGAGGTTCTTCCTGGGAGACCTCTGTGACAAGGAGGTACAGACAAACAGCATGACATTCTGTCGCTAGTGGTGTCCCCAGGGTTCCATACTGGGCTCAAGATTCATTAACTTCTCCATCAGTGGTTGGGTGAAGGGATTGATGCCTTCTCAGCAGGTTTGCTGGGAGGAGTGGCTGATCACCCAGAGGGCTGTGCAGATCATCATAGAATTTTTAGGGGCTGGAGTGGACCTTAGAGGTCATCCAGTCCCAAACCCCTGCCCTGGGCAGGGACACCTCCCACCAGACCAGGTTGCTCAAAGCTTCATCCATCTTGTTTTTGAACACTTCCAGGGTTGAGATGTCCACAGCCTCCCTGGGCAACCTGTGCCAGTGTCTCACCACACTCACAGGAAAAACCTTTTCCTAAAGTACTCCAGAGAGTTTGTGGATTCTCCCTCACTCTTGGTATTCCAGAACCCTTTGGATGCAATCCTGTGCCATCTGCTCCAGGCTGACCCTGCTTGAGCAGGGAGGTGGGACCAGATAACCCACTGTGGTCCCTCCCAACCTGACCCAGTCTGGGACTCTGGGATTCTGTGACTTGGGCAGGTAGAAGGATGTCTGGTTAAATAAGTGTTTGTTCAAACACAGAGCCTTGCCTGAAGCACTAAAACACAGGGAGGCACTGCCCAGGTTGTAAAGGGGATGCAGATGTGCTTCCCACCTTTCCCTGGAGTGTAGCCTCAGCTCTTTTCTGGGGAAGCCTCATAAAGAAATAGACCCGATGTCTGCTGGAACCTGAAAAGAACAGAACTTGTTTCTGTCTAATGATTTGCATTACTGTTAGCTGAGCTACACAGTGTAATTACAGTCCTTGTGATAATTGCCTGTGGGGGCTCTCCCAGCTCACCTCAGCTGCATGAGAACAGCACAACACATTATTCCTAACAGGGCAGGTTGAGGCCTCTTGGCCTCAACTCAGTCATGTGTGTGAGCCTTGGCAAAGTCCTGTGTGTGCCATGTGAGAGACATCTGCCTAAATATCACATCTCAGAGCTTTAGGACAGTCACCTCAACACAGTGCCATGGGCAGCTGCTGGCTGTTAAACCTGCTGCTTCCTGAGTCTTCAAACTCCTGACTCCAGGGAGTTTTGAGTCTTGTACCTGCAGTTGTGATACTGCAAGTAGTTCAGCCTAAACAGCCTCCAGCTCGTGGGAATTTCTCAGGTTCTTCTCTGGAAAGAAGAGCTGGTGTAATGTGTTTTTGTCTAGCAAAAGGAGAGGACACTGTGAAGATCCTGGATGTTAATCCTATTCCAGCTACCCACCTTTATGGAGGGAACAGGATTGAATTTTAGCAGTATGTTTCCATGAAAAAAGAACTGGTTCAGTTCCTTCCTTTCATGTTTTCCTGAGCAGCCACTATGGCTGGTGCTTCATGCCTGTGTCACGTCATGCCTGTGTCACGTTGTGTGTTCCAGGCTCTGCTCCCAGCTTTACAAGGTGTGTCTGTGGCATTTCACTGTGCATCACCAGCACCTTCAAGTGACAACAGAGAACTGTTTTATAAGGTGAATTTTATGGGAACCAAAGCAGTCATTGAAGCCTGCAAAGAAGCTGGAGTGCAGGTAAGGGTGGAAAAGCTCATGGAGACTCTAAGAGGCTTATGGACTTCAACATTTGCAGCATGGAGCAATTTCAGTCTAGTCTGATAAAGAGACAAAGGGCTCTGAGATACTGAGTTCCTCCTTGTTCCATGAAAACTAGTGGTAGAGAGAGACTCTGTGCATCTCCTGTTTAGTGTTTGGTGTAAACTCAGTCCATGTTTGCCACAGAAGACCTAGACATTGTAATCTTCCTGACTGCAGGAAAAGCATCCATTAAAATCTGTCTGGGAATCACCCACGGGAGAACCACGACTGACAAGTGGCTTCTTTCATGCTTTAATAAGGGGACAACTCTAAGGATTGCTTTTCCAGCAGTGCAGATATTCATGGCATCTATTACTTCTGTGAATTCTTTGACGTATAATGAGCAGGAACATACTTGGGCCACAATCTCAGTATCATTTGGTTTAGAAAGTCAATTGCTTACTGAAGAAAGGGCCTGAGGAAATCAGGCTGCTGCTCAGGCAAGGCTGTGGGCTGGTTTGTTTCTCCTTATGTTATTTTGATATCCCATGAGTTTTCATTTAAGCTCTTAGCAAATCCTCAAGCACAACACATGAGGATCCTGTTGTTATTGTGAACAGAAATGTTGCTCCAAAGCATTTTGTGCAGTGTCCATGGACAAAGATGGAAGTGATCATGTTTAAAATTCCATTTTGCCTCTCCCATCAGCCTCCCAGACCCACATTGGGTTGGTTGTTGGGTTTTTGTTTCCCTCCTGGTGTAATGAGCTGTTGTAGGACATGGGCCATGTGGAGCTTCCCTCCAGGCTCTGTCTTGTTGGAACTTGTTGGAGTCATCTTTTATTACAGTGTTGATCTTGTTTAACACCACATGTTTCTGATTGCTCAGATACATCACTGACTTCCTGTTTTGAATCCACTTGGGTACATTTTTATCCAACAAAAACATCCAAGGTTTCTTCTTTGGTTTAACCTACCTGATACTGTTATTGTCAAGATGAGCAAATCATCTTTAAAACCACTCATTGTGTATGAAGTGCTGCACTGTGCCTTGCACTGATTTTTCTGGAGATGTTTCCCCTTGACTGGCTGCCTTGGATGCTTGTTGAACTCTTTTAATCTTTAGGTAACACTAAACAATGTGACAGAGTGAGTTAAAAGAGGGGGAGTTTTATTACCTGTAGTTTGAGATCATCTCCTGTTAGACTCAATTTATTATGTGTAGGATCAGTGGATTAAACGTTATTGTCTTTACTCAGCCTTTGTTAATAATGACCCTTTTGTCTTAGGCTTTAAACAAGTGTTTTCTTTCCCATCCTTTGCAGAAACTGGTGTTAACTAGCAGTGCCAGTGTAGTGTTTGAGGGCACAGACATCAAAAATGGGTCAGAAGACCTCCCTTATGCACAAAAACCTATTGACTACTACACAGAGACCAAGATCCTACAGGAGAAGGTATTTGTCATAATCTGGTGAACATTGTTGGTTTTGATGCTTAAAACTGTCCTCCTAAGTGCATGGCCAGGGGGACACAGCAGGCTCTTCAGAACTGAACAGATCCCTCTCGCTTGGCAGAATCTCTCTCTCAGTAAGAAGTACCTCATTCTTACGGTGCAAAGGAAATGTGTGCAGAACCAGCACATGGAGCAATATCTATCAGAGATTTCAGAGAATAGCTGAAAGAGAAAATTCTCTTTCTTGAGAGGAACCTGCCTAATTTTAGCCCTCTTATTCTCAGCATATAATCATGGTATCATAGAACGTTAAGGGTAGGAATGGACCTTAGAGATCATCTAGTCCCAACCCCCTGCCCTGGGCAGGGACACCTTCCACCAGACCAGGCTGCTCAAGGCTTTAAGAATACTCAAAGATGGGAAGGACATTTCTTTGGTGCTCTTGTCTAGGCCCTATAAAACAACCTCAGCACTACCCAGGTGAGACACTGATCCTCAGGAAGGCAAACGTCCTCTGGAAAACCAAAACAAACACTCCTTGTCCCTCCAGTTCCTAACAAAGAGTTCCTCTCCAGCTTCCTTGTAGCATGGAGGCTGGGGAGCTGTTCTGTCACAGAGCAGTGTAGCTGCTCTGACAGGTCTGTCACTGCTGGTGTCTTTTTCAACCCTTTTGAGCTTTTTTCCATGGCTTGCATTTCAGCTGTGGCAAGAATCTTTTTGTGCAAGAAGAATTTGGAGTTGCTTCCATGCTGATGCTGACAGTGTGTCCCTGAGTTCTAGTGCTAGCATGGAGGCTGGGGAGCTGTTCTGTCACAGAGCAGTGTAGCTGCTCTGACAGGTCTGTCACTGCTGGTGTCTTTTTCAACCCTTTTGAGCTTTTTTCCATGGCTTGCATTTCAGCTGTGGCAAGAATCTTTTTGTGCAAGAAGAATTTGGAGTTGCTTCCATGCTGATGCTGACAGTGTGTCCCTGAGTTCTAGTGCTAGCCTTCAAGGAGTTTCCTCCAAAAGAACTGAATTGAAAACTCAGCATAAAAACATCTGTTCATTCACAACCACAACCACTGTGCTGTTACAGGCACTGATAAAGGGAAAGCTTAGGAGGAGTAATCAAGTAACCCAATCTGCTTGTAATTATGGCTTTGTTTTGTGTGAAACAGTGCAAGTATTCAGTGTGTGCCTGGTTCTGGGAGTTTCATAGACATTCCAGCAGCTGTTAGAAATTAGGAGAACATGTTGTTTGGAAACTCCCAAGAGAATCCAGTGTCCCTCAGTGTTGCCTTGCTAAATGTGCTTAGCACTTGGTGCTGCCAGAAAGATGGGCTCAACTCTTTCTGAAGGAGATCCAGATGGAAACAGTCGATGAGAGGGACAGAGCTGGGATTGCTTAGTGTCCTCCTTTTCTCCAGCACATGCATAAAGAGTTCATGGAGTGAAGGAACTTTGAAAGCTCCTCTAGTTTCTATGGTGTTAAATGGGAGAAGCAAAGAGCTCCCTTCCGTTGCCTGTCAATTCATCAGGTGTTCAGCAGTGAAAACTGATTGTTGTCTGTTTTTTTTCGCATTAAAGAGAAGTGTGAGAAGAGATAGGAACAAAGAAAGGATCATTTGGAAAGACAGCAAGGGATAATAATTCTTCCATTGGTGTCTTCAAGGAGATGGGGAGCAAGCCCCTTTAGTGATCATCTTGGAATATATTGCCAAGCTCTGTTTTTCTTCCCAGCCTTTCTCCTGATTTGCTTATCTTCTTTC